CTCCGGGCCGCCCTCCTGATCTTCGTCCTCGCCGTGGCCGAGCTCCGGGCCGCCCTCCTGATCTTCGTCCTCGCCGTGTCCGAGCTCCGGGCCGCCCTCCTGATCTTCGTCCTCGCCGTGGCCGAGCTCCGGGCCGCCCTCCTGATCTTTGCCTTTGCCGCGGCCATGTCCACGGTCGTCCACCAGAGCTCAGCCTTTGCCGCGGCCATGTCCACGGTCGTCCACCAGAGCTCAGCCTTCGCAACGGTCGGGCCCACGGTCGCTCACCCCTTCATCTGTTTTGGGTCCCTGGGCGTCCACCTGAACTTTCTGCCTTCCTTCAGATGTAACTAGGGTCATCCTAGTGACTTTATTTTGTCGTCTCCCAGGGTTTCCTGTCGGTCTTTTGTTCATGTGTTCTTCTGCATTTTGATTTTCTTGCCCTCCATCCTTTGAGTTTCCCCCCTCCTCCCACCCGAGTCGGAGTTTTTATTATTTGGAACGTCAGGATGCCGTTCCTTAAAGAGGGGGCTATGTTACGATTCTTGTGTTTTGGTTATTTTCTGGTAGTATTTTTCAGATTGTTTTGGTATTGTCTTATTTTCTCATTTCCTGTTTTCAGTTTCCTGTGCCATGTTTACCTCAGTCAGCTTCTTTGTATTTTTCCAGCCTGCCACACTCATCTGTCCTCACCTGTAATCACCCAGCTGTTTCCTACTTCCACTCAGCCCTGTTTGTATTTAAGGATCTTGTCTTCATCACTTCAGCGTCTGTTCATTTACTTACCCATGCTCATGCTCATGCTCATGCTCATGCTCCAAGTTTTGTTTTGTTTCTTTGTTTTGTTAGCTTGCCACCACGTTGGCCTTTTTTGTTTATTAAAGTCTTTTTAATTACTTTAAGTTTGGTCTGCCTGCCTGCCTGCATTTTGGGTTCTCCTCACCACCAAGTCGTGACAGGATCAGATAAAAACACTTCCTGTTTGTCTCTGATGGATGGAAACAGCTCTGAGTTTACATCTGACACAGATTATTTCTAATATCAGAGCGTTTCATCTGTTTATTTAACACTCAGATTAAACAAAGTCCTCCTGATCCAGAACCGACACAAAGCCTGAGGCGGGTCGGGTCGGCCTCAAATAAAAAAACAGCTTTTATTCAAACAGAAACGTGTTTTTAATCAACTAATGAATATTTGTCACCTTCAGGCTGCAGATCCAAACATCTTCATTATTTATATTATATAAGAAACAAAATGTTTTATTTTTAATTTTTATTTATTTGTTTTTTAATGCAGACCTAAGAGTCTGGATCAGAACCGAACCGGGCCTCGTCCTGTTCACTTCAAAATTAAAATAAAACGGATTAAAATCAGATTAAAGGTGTTTTTAATGCAGGAGGATGTTTCTGTCGCAGGGTTCAGACATGACGTCACCCCTCACACACCCCGGCGGGCACGAGGGCGCGTGCACGACAGCGAGGCAGACTGTGCGTGGGTGCGCGTGAACACCCCGTTTTAATTTTAGTTAATCATAAGAAAATATAAAAATGACGTCATGTCAGGAGTTTTATTTATTTCTTGTTTGTAAAAAAAAGAAAAACAAACAAAAACAAATAAATTTCTGTGATCTCTCCTCTGGATCCGCCCTGTTTCCTGATAAATGTTTACAACTTGAGCTGATCCACTTTAAACACAAACATCAGTTTAATTTAATGAACTGGTTTATAAAATGGTTTAAATGAAAACGGGATGTTCTGATCCAGAGGATCCAGAACCGCAGCAGCTGATTTCAAGCTTCTGCACCTCTAATATATTCATTATTTTAATAATAAACCGTAAATAAACACAAGTAATAACGATTTAAATGTTTTAAACCGACCCCTGTCGCGGCGGAGCGGCCGGGCAGCGGGCCCGGTTCTTACCGTAGGCGGGTCCCAGCTCGACGATGTCCGCCATTTTGTGGTTGAGGGGCTGAAGGAGGCTGCGGTCCGGACCGAGGAGAGGAGAGCAGAGGTGGGCTTAAAACCGACTGACTGCCGCCCGCTGGGGCTTCACTTCCATAGAGGAGCGGCCGCAGCGAGAGGAGGTGACCGGGAGCGGGGCTGCTGACCCGGCGGAGGGAGCCTTCATGTGTCCGCGGACGGAGCTGCGGGGGTCGGTCTGCTTCTCTGCGCAGAGATGCTCGCGCGAGGATGCAGGGAGTCTGCGCGGAGGGGCTCGCGATGAGACTCAACAAAGATCGTTTATGTAGAGAGATGCGTCACTGCGCGGTGTGGAGCAATACTGGATTAATAACAAAGATAGTCAGGGGCATCAGCGGGGGGTGGGGTGCCCCCCCCCCCAGTTTTATCCTCTTGAGTACCTTATTTAGGAATAG